GTCCTTTCTGAGAGTTTACTTCGCTGCTCGTGTGGCTGCGGATCCATTGTTGTGAGCTTTTACTTCTGTAGCGTGGTGCAGTGGGCCGTGAGTTTGGTTTCCTCTACCTTTTTTTGGAAAGGATGAGTCATGCAAGCGGCTGTTTCCTTTTTTGAATATGTAAATGCAACTTTGATGGCAGCCTACAGCAGGCACACCCTGGATGGCTGGATGAGTTTTAGTTTTAGACCCGACTGGCCTATTTCCGCCCTGAGCCAGACGCTTTCCCTCTGCCTCTCTTCATCCTCCACCCCCTCTTATCCCTCTCTGAAGTGTGAAGTTTGAAGCAGCCGGCTGTGTGCTATGATAGCGGTAATTGGTCTTAAGATGGAAAGTTCACACTCACTTTGTCACTGAACTAAGAAGCTATTTGTTTTCAATGAGTGTTTTTAAAAAAAAACAAAAAACTGAAATTTGAAGCGAGGCTAGTTAATAACAATATAACATCAAAGTGCTATTTAACAGCAAAGAAAAGCGGGTTTGATGATGATGGAGACCGGCACTTTTTGTCCGAGTTGAAAAGCAGCTCTCCGTCTTGTACAACTTCATTTCAGACGGAGCCGGGGAGAGGAGAACGACTCCCCTCTTTGGTACCCCCTCGTCTGAGGAGGAGAGCTTTGGACTCAGAGTTTTTTTATTAGCCTCTGTGGCCTGATTTGTTTAAGGGGAGGCGAGGTGCCAAGATGTGGCTTGGCACCCATTGTGCTCCAGTGCTGGATTTGTTGGTGCAGGGGGTGGGGGGCAGAGTTTCCCAGAGTACACACACTTACACACAATGTACTTTTATGCGTTGTTCACTGTGCTATTCTGGCCAGCGGACACAATTTCCCTCATTCACAGTCATTAGAGGAGACGGACACATGGAGAGAAAAATCCTGCTATAAAAAAAAAACGAGACCGTAAGAAAAAGGGGGTGAAGACGGGGAGGAGATTAAAGCTCACAAAGAAACAACTAGTGGATGTGCTTGAATTTCATTTTGCCGATCAGTCGACTGAAGACGTCTCTTAAAGACGCAGATCCTTTGGCTGAACATGAATGATTTGTTTTTGAATGGGTGTGTTTAAGAATACGCAAATAACACTCATTTTAGCAGGCTGGTTTTTGATCCTGTTTGGCAAAATATCCAGACACCAACTGAGATTCTTTTGAGGCAGATATTTGGCGGTTAAACATTTTTAAAAGAATGACTCATTTATTTTTAAAACAATACACATATAAGCATATTCCATGAACAGTAATAGAGACACTGTTTCTATAGAACCTTAAATATAGTTTGGCATTTCTGTGCTGCAGTTTCTTTTTACTCATTGGCCGACATGTGCACTGATACGATATAACGGCAATGAGCTATAATGGTTTTCTTTAAGTTTGAGTTATTTACAACTTTAGTTAATTGCAAATGGTGCAAGCTAAACTCAATCAGATTTGATAATGGATTCGAAGGGATTTGGTTTCAGTAACAGGATTGTAAACTGGATTTAAAGTGCCGTATTTGGTTTTGGTTGCAGCAGCGTTCCCGGCTGACAAAGCCTTTCTTACCATCCAGTTTTGCACACAGCTGGTCGACAACCTAAAAAAACAAAAAGGTTGCACAATGTTTTATCTTCACCGATATTGGTTGTTCTTTTTGTTCGTATTTTAATGGTCTTCATGGGTCCTTTGCTCGAATTTAGCTGCAACACAACCTCACCTGGCAACTGTTTATCTTACAATCGCAGCAAAGAAAGAAATCAAATGTGTTTTAAATCTTGCCTCATAGATTTATAAACCACCGCGCAGTGTTTTTGCCTCTGATAAAAGCCTGTGGTCATGAACTTGGAGTCCCTTGCCTTTAAATGCAGGGCTTTTTTTTTGTTGTTGTTTGATCTGAACGCCCACTTATCCTCCTTCTGATAGCGTCCAGGTAGGATACTATTCTGTCGTAGGTATCGAGTCTTTGTGTCCGTTCGTCCAATACCTGAATGGATCCTGAGAAACATCACATGCTGGCTGATTAGCTTCCTACATGCATGGTGTCTCTCTCTCTCTTTCACACAGATGTTCCTCTCAGTTTTCTTCCTGGTTCAGCTGAGTGTTACAGTTGAGGATGTGTGTGTGTGTGGTTATATCATCTTTATCTTATCAGGGCTGTTTCTTAGCTGTGTGCAACTTTACACTCATCACTAACAGGTGCGAAAGTGTCCTTTCCTTCGTATTCTGTGTCTGCTCAGCACGCGTCTGCACTCGCATTAAGTGACAGAAACACTTTAAAAGACAATACAGGAGCTCAATGAAGGTGCAGCAAGTTTATTTTTGCAGGGACAGCGCATAATTAAAAGTAATAACACCAGATTTAGCGAGAAGCTAATTTGCATCTGTTGTCCCTGGGCAGGTAGACAAAATAATAAATGCTCTACGTAAAACAACACAGTACATAAAAGTGTGAGATAGTAAATAGAATCAGCATGATGACTACTATAAATACTGTACAAGGCAATCATTGACAGTGACACTTTTGTGCTGACTTTAGCCAAAGCTTTAGGCTGGTTTCAAACACTGCAAAGCTTCCAGAGTTCCGAATGTTGGTGGAACTCCGTTTAAACCGAGAAAGCAGACTGACCAAAGTTTGTCTTTCTGAACTGCGGCACCCAGTAGCCTCTAGATGCTCTAAACCAGAATAGGACAGGCCTCCTCTAAGAGGAGAGGGTGCAAGATTATGAATCATTTTAACGTCAGGCATACATCAGAAATCAATGAAATAAGAAGTTATAAGAAACCCGAGGGAATTATATATTTTCCAGGATATCACAGTGCTGGTGATCCCTTGGTTTGTTATCATACAGCATGATTTTGCATTGGTTTTGGGTGAAGCGGACAAATTAAGCTGAATAATTATCAGCTTAAACAGGTCTGACAATCCCCAGTTTTAAATGAGCAATAGAGGCCGAGTAAACATTGATTCATCATCATCATCTGCGAGTTCTGCAATATCGTTACATGGAAAGAGGAAGAAATCTCTCAAAAGTCACAAAAAACTGACTACTGAGTTACATCGGCATCTCTGACCGTCATTTTGTGCTTTTGTACCGCTTTGAAATGCAGAATTGTCGTTGAGATAAGATATGAGCTCCTCTCTGCTGTTGATGATACACTGAGCAGTTCAAGTTCATGAAGTTAATGGCGCCGTATGAGCATCCACAGTAAAATGTGAACTGTGGTTGCATCTTTATTGCCTCCTGTTAGAGTGTGTTGCTTTAACAAGAGGAAGCTGCTGCGGTGTAAGATATTTATTGTGTTGCTCGAGTGCATGTAGCGCACAAACATCCATACGGTAAAAGGTTGTTTAGTTCTCTGGCGTCGAGTAATTGAAGAGCACTACAGACGTGTGTTGAGAGGAGAGCGGACTGTCACATTTCTCTATAGACTCTGCATCTTCAGCTCATTCACACTGCTGTTATTTTCAATGCTTTACGCCGATATTAGCGATGCCACATGCCGTTAACTGCTCCTTTATTCACTCTGGTTTTCACGCCTGTGTCACAGTGAGCACAAAGAGCCGTAATGATCGCAACGAAGGCTCTCTTGTTCCGGCTCATGCGTGAAGAGGAGAACTATTTTTGTTTTTTTGTTTTAATCTCCTCAACTTTTGCCTAAAAAAAAATGGAGCCAGTTGCTTTTTGTTGCAGCTGAGCTATAAATGATTCCCACTTAAGCAGTCAGTGTCTGGCTCTATTTTTCTCCCCTTTCAATTAATAGGAAACACATTGGTTGAAGGAGGCTCTTTGTTGGTGTGTGAGAGTCCATACATCACCTAAACTAGAGCACCCACTCCTCCTGCTCCTCCTCCTCCTCCTCCTAACACACACACACACGGCGACAGCCCCCATCTGCTCCCAATCATGGGTGCAGCCAGCGGTCAGGTCGCTGACGGTGAATGCCGCACTAACACACACACACACACACGTAAACATACACAACATAGGCACGCTGGGCATGAGGTCAGCCATGCACGGACTCACACACACATGCACGCTCATGTAGGTGTGTCCAGATATTTGGTTGTAAACGTGGGCTTTCACACACATCCTGGTAACGAAAAGGAAAGTAACCTACAGTTTATCTCTATCTCACACACACACACACACACACACACACACACAGTGACAGATGAACATGAGACATCCTGGCGGCGAGCTTCACTGATGACAGGGTGTCATGGAAACGCCCAGCGTTCTCCATGGTTACGCACTCTTTACCCCCACGGGATACACTCTGATGATTGTTCAGACAGAACACTTGAGCTACTACAACAACTCAGCGTGGATAACGCGCGCACACACACACACACACACACACACACACACACACTGTTTCTTATCAGGATCTAAATGGACACAAATTAGCCTATTATGTGCTTTTGGGATTAGAGCGGTGATTTAGCCAAATGGTCTGTTTTTGTAATCTTGCTCGGACTCCACAAAGCATGAGAGATATCTGCAAATAGAGGCCTGACGTTTACATCCAATTGTATCGATCAGGAGTGCTCATTTAGTGGAGCAGCACTTTCTTTTACCTTTTGCAGTCAGTGACCGGCTGAATTGTGGATCACATGCCGTCGTCACTTTTAGGTTTCGATGGTTTGGCTTCCTGTAAAACTTGTGTCTCAACATCCCTTTTTCGTGTGTGTGCGTGTATGTATGCGTGTGCGGTTGTTCTGGCTGTGGGAGAGGTCTGTGTGTTAATGCAAATGCACAGGAGTGTTTTCTCCGCAATGTAGACAAAAGCACACAGCAAAGTCATGGCCTCCTTCACAGTTCCTCCTGCTCATTAAGCTGCTAATGCAGCTTCCTGTGCTTGTGTCTTCAGGCCGCCAATTAATAATGCTGCTTGTTATTCATAAATATCTCTATAACGCTATAACGAACATGCACCGTTGAGCTTAAACTTTTCTATTTTTCTTCTTCTGTTCTTCTTTCTCCAGACTCCATTGACCAGCTCACATAGGACCATAGAACCCCCCCCCCCCCCCCCAGCGAGAGGTGAGAGGGGATCTGATCGTCCATCATCTCGGGCGCCGTCACAAGGTGGGCTAACATCCCATATATGGTTGGCATGGTAACGGCCTGCTGGGTTTAGGTTGAGCAGTTTTGCCGGTTTCTTGTTGTTACCACATTCTTGCAACATCCTCCTGACCTGAACGTGGAGAACGCTTTGTGTTCTCTGAAGCAAATGGAGGTGTCTTTGTGTTTTTGAGGTTTGGATTTTGGAAGGTGGAACAGTTTTTGGGGAACGAGGCAGTAAAGGTGGTGGTGGTAACAAGAGGAAAACAAAGAGGGTTGAGCGGGTGATTTTCAGGCAGATGAGAAAATGAAGAGTGGGAAGACAGCAGGGAGACAGGAGGAGAAATCAAATTATTCTTTGTGCTCTACCTGCCACAGAGGCTGAAAGAGAGCATTAATCTTTTACCCCTGTCTGCAGGTGACAACAACGCGCACACACACACACACACACACACACACACACACACACACACACACACTTACTCAAATGTGCCCAGACTTAACCAAACCGCACTCTGCTCTTTCGATCACGTGCAGTCTCACACATGCTTTTGAAGGCACGCTGTAGTTGCACAGAAAGCAGCAGGGATTGTGAGGTTGTGTAGGAAAGGAGGGGAGGGGAAGTCCAGTTCCAGGCAGAGGAGATACTGGACATGATGAGGAGGTAGATTAGAGAGGAGGAGGAGGAGGAGGATGGACAATTGAATTGAATTGTCCTTCCTCAATTGAATTGAATTGAATTGAATTGACAATGAAGGACTTCTGGATTCTTCCGCAAAGAGTCAATGTAAGGAAGTAAAAGTTCTGAAACGTGATGACACATTCGGCATCAACCATGCCAAAGTCGCTCACAAACAGTATGATTAACTGATGGCCATATTAACAAAACTAGGATTACCTTATCTAGAAGTGTAAATGTCATAATGCTTTTTTACATTCTGTATATGTGGTACTTTCCTTGTTGTTATATTTATCTTTGACAAACACGTTGCAGTTGCTTCCTCGCTGAAGTGTAAGAGTCATTCAGAGACGATGACGATAAAGCTCTCTTGAATCTTGAGGAACATTGTCGCTATGAGAAGAAATCACTGAAATGGGAATTTACAGAAGGGAACAAACCTCCTAAAATGTTCTGTACTGGGTTAGAACAACTTGAATCGACAGAATCAGCTTTTCTTCTTTGTCCTTCATACAGCAGTCACGACGGTCTCTGGTTTAGAGCACTCTAAGCGAAGCAGCTCCTGTCATGTCACCGGTGTGAGTTTCTGAGGCCAGACCAGGGCTGTGTGCCTCTGTTTTGTCAACAGAGATTATGAAACAGCGGCTGGCAGGCTGGCAGGTAGGCGGGGGAGGCGACCGCGGGGCTATTTGCATCGCCCAGCTTGAGTAAGCCTGCCCCGCTAACTCTGTCACCCCCACACCCCCCAAAAAAAAAGAAAGAATGGAGACGCTATTCAAACAAACACACAGGAAGTTTCATGGCAGCCAGCGCCACAGTTCTGCCTTCTCTGTGTTTGAGAGACGGTAAATGAGCGTTCTCAGCCAACCGCTGTTGTAACCTCGACGCTCTCGTGCTCAACAGAGTTTAAATTAAAGCCTAAGTGAAGTTCTTGGATGTTTCTGATGATGCTTAGCTGGTACACAGACACAGGTTTACATCTGTCTTAGTACAACACCGATTTAAAGACGAGTCTACAGTGCTCTTGCTAATTTTCCCTGGTCACACGTCGCCTGCTCTCAGTAAGTCTTTCCGACGCGTTCTTGTTTGTTGCGTTGGGCTTCTTCTTTTTTCCTGCTGTGACTCACTCTGTCGTGGGAAGTCTGCCGTCTCTGCACTTTGTCTTCCGAAACCTTTTTGTCTTCTCTTTGCTTTCAGATTTTTAGATGCTGTTCATCCATTTATATTCTGCTCCACGAGAGTCCATGACTTTAACTCACCAGTGTTATGAAGTGTTGTTAAGTATGCAAAAAAAAATCACAAACGTTCACGGAGTGGAAAAAGTACCGTTCTTATAGAATTAATTGTACTTTTATCAAACCAACATCTCTCTTCTAATAGAGCCCTGGCCAAGACAGCAGCAATAGAGTGTTTCAGATAACAATTAAAACACATAACATGTGAAAATACATGTAAAACACATAAAACAAACACTGTTTTAAAAAATAGGTTTACGAGACAAACACAGAATCGTATGCTTTGGAAAACAGACAGGAGGAAACGGATCCATCAAAGGAAGCAATTACAAACTCATGTTGAATTTGCCTCCAGACGCTTCACTAATATGTAAAGTTGTGTCGGGTAAACTCTCAGCTCTCTGCAGAAACTTCCTCCTAAAAACTAAAAACTGAACTATTTCAGTTTTCAAATTATAGAAAACTAACGTCATCTGATTGATGGGAAATGAATCATGAAATCCATGGAATGAACAGTTAATATTGAATGTTTGTTCAACACACTTGTTCAGGGTTATTGTTAGAATCTCTTTGCAAACTTAATTTTCTTTCTCTGCCCTAAAAAATTTTGTGATATTTTCCAAAAAATAAATGAAACAAAAAAAGAAATACTAGAGGTTAAAAATGTCACATGTATCTCATTTATAAAAAACAAACATAGCGACTGCATGGAGGAACATAATAATGTCCAGCAAAATGCTTTACATACAACATAAGAACAAATGAAGCCATGAGGAACATTTATGTAAAAGATGTCTCCCACTGGGCTTCAGGGTCACTGGCAGACTGCTGTCCTGTAGCAGACCTGAAGAGTTCAGCTTCGCCCCAGGTGATGCCACAGCGCTTGTTGACCCTCGCGATCCTCCCTTCACACCGGTCTAATGACCTGGAAAATATGGGGGTCAGCAGAAGACCCCTTGAAATCGCTCAGGTCGAGATCGGGGTCGAGAACCGGGTCTAACTTAGTGTGAAAGATCCAAAGCTGTTTACCTGCATGGGTGCACTCACCTGTGCATGTCAGCAGCAGAACAGAAGACGCTCCCATGATGGCTCAGTGCTGGGAGCTAAATTCTCTGTCCGTCTCTGTTTTTATTTTTTTGTGTGCGTCTCCGGCCGAGCCACAACAAGCAGCTGCTCCTTAATAAGCACTCTGATTAACAGCTTCCCACCATTACCGTTGACTCTGATTAATGCCTGTGACTCATCTTCAACCATATGATTTAGTCCAAAGACTTATTGAACGTGCAGCTGATCAGGAGCCTGTGATGTATTTGTTTCTGCCTTGGCTGAATGATCATGAATGGTGCCGTGACCGTCTGCTATAAATGGCCAATTCCTTTTATCTATTTGTGTTTAAATACAAAGAGTAAAGGTGTTTGCTTTTTTCGTGAAATAATTTGTCTCCTCTGTCAGCATCTGTGTATTTTCCTCCTGTTTTTTGTTATTTTACATCTTTTCAACAACTTTTCCACCTCAAACAAGGCTTTTTAAATTTCCGAAGTTGCTATTCAACTGTTTTTAATGCTACAATTCAAACCCAGGTGCAGAGAAACTACGTTCTACTTTTTCTCACATCTATCACACGTCGGTCTTTCTCCCTTAAAAAGCCATCTTCACGCCCATCTCCCCTCTCCTTCTTGCTGCCCGCCATACTGCCGTCACCCTCTCCCATTTCCCTCTTTAATGCCTCTCATTCCCACTGCCCCCTGCTGCTATATTGTGCCCACCACAGCCTCGCTGCCTCTCTGCCACCAGGCCCCACACTGCCTGTGGCGTGTAATTGACTTTCTCCCTGCACTGGAAAAGCGGGCGGCCCGCGCCAGGCTGGAGGTGACCCATTTCCCTGGGGCATTCAGCAGCCTCCTAATCAACCATTCTCTGGGGCCGCCTCATTCACTCCGCAATTAGAGCAACTCCCCCTTTGAGAACTCCATCAATAGGCTGCCAGGCGGGCGGGCTGAATTGTCGGAGGAGCAAAGACGGAGTTTCACTCAAACACTTTGCCTTGGCTCTTCGAGTTCTGAACCCCTCGACTTTGTACCTCCCCCTCTCTGCTTTTTACCGCGTCTCCCTCGTGGTTGGTTTCATCAGACAGCAGCAAGCGGGGGTTTTTGTCTAACGACGAGCGGCAGACAGGGGAGGCAGGTAGACAGGAGGATAGGCAAGAAGAGAAGCAGGTAGGCAAGCAGACAATGGCAACAAGACAGTCAGATGGGTGGGACTCAAGGGAGAGATTAAAAGAGAAATTTGAAAGAAACGCAAAGCGGGAGGGATTGAGCAAGAGGATCGGCGTGTATTCAGAGCATCTCTCGCTTTCAGAAGCAAGTATTCCCCGTTGTTGTCTTGCAAGGGAATACACTTGTGTATCACCATGGTCTTGAAGACATGCATGAAAGCAAGCCCTCACATTGATTCTGTCTCAATAAGAAGGTGTGTTCGCTGCCTGTTTGAGCCGGATATATGATCTTCTTCGCGAGCCAAGAGCGCACGACTGAAGATTTAAAACGGAACGCAATCAGACGTTTTTCGCGAGCAGCTCTGATCCCACAAGAAGGAACAGGCGATGATGGCGCGCGGTGATTAAATAACAGGCCGGCTTCTCTCCCCTGCCGTTGGCCTGATTTACTATGCAGGAGAGGCGTGCTCTGGTCAGAGGATAACCATGTAATCAATGGAATGAAAAAGCTGCTCTGGCTGTGAAGGTTAAGAGGGGTACTGGAAGCTTTCAGCCCACTCTGTGCATCACACATGCATGCAAAACACACACCAGACAGTCTGAATGTTACATCTCCTCCTCTGATTCCTCCCCCCTCTCACCTGTTCCCCCTTCCCCCCCATCTTTCTTTGACATGCCTTTATCTCTCTTTCTCTCAGCTCGCTCCCTCGGCCTCTGCCTC